TCACTCAGTTATACTATTTTGGTTGTTATAGATTCATAAAAAAATGATTTAACAGTTATATAAAAATATCTTTCTCAAACATTTTGTGATACACATCAGCAATAAATTTTGGTGATATCACACAACTGAAGTTTAATTATTTGCAAAAAGAGAAAATTCAAAAAGTTTCATTAGCATGAGTATCTAAATATAATTATTTCCTTTGTATACTCTAAATGTTAGGAGAATGTGAAGGCAAAGGTTTTTAAACTTCATGATATGATGTGAAGAACTTCATGGATAAAATTCTAAATTATAATGCATACAAGGATTCCCACAAAAACAATTAGAAACAAAGTTAGAAATAAGTATCAAACAATGCTTTATGAAGTGTTTAGGAAAGGAGTTCTTTCACTTGCACTATGTAAAAAATAAATGGTAACATCAGAAAGTCAATATTGCTTTGTTGATTTGTGAGTAGAGATAAAAAGCTAAACTTATAGGTCACAATGGATAGGAATTGAGTAAGCATTTATTCAGAGAGAGTAAAAACATTATTCATTATCTCAAAAGTCAGATGACATTTAAGAATACAAACTGAACTTAAGAATACTTGCTAAATCTGTTAGGAGTAAAAATAGAATCAAGTACAAGCAACATTAATTGAATGAGTAAGAAAAATCATGAAGAATAATCAGCTGACTCAATAAAAAAGATTTACTTAAATGAAAAACTAATAATTTGTTGATTCTACGATAAAATCAAATTTCATTTTTGTTCAAGTTTAGCATATTGTAACATTTGATAAAGTTTTGGAATTATGTTCTTGAAAGAAAAAAATCATAAAAAATATATAAGTTCTGCAGATAATTATGTTGTAATTATGTTTCAGATAATTTTATTTGACATTATATAACTTATAAGAGCTTATAACAGTTACATTTACATTAAGTTTTCAATGCTTCTTAAACTAAATATCCCACTTATGTTATTAATTTCACATTAAATCCAATTATCATAAATTAAATTTTTAGGTGAAGAATATAACAACTATTTCAAGAGTAGCTTAAATACTACTGTACTTTATACAAGAAAAGTTATGGTTTCCAAAACTTTTTCATTATTTGCTCAAAATTAAATTATTAATGCTTAGTTACCTTTATCATGAAACCTAAAAATGCAAATAAATATTTTTTAGAATTTTTATATTTCAAGATCTTTACAAAGTTTGACTTTGTAAAGATAATGTTATTTTTCCTGTAATTACTGTTATTGGCATCAAATATATTAATCCTTTTGGCTAGAATATATAACATATCAATAAGAAGGTAAATTCAACAATTTTTTCTGAAGATCTAGAAATCTCTCTTTTTTTTTTTTACTCAAGCAGTAAAAACATTTTCTTTTTGTTTCTTATCAAGATATTTCACATATCACTTTAAGGGATTTATTAGAGCTTTTTATTTGTTGAAAACTCTTTTGTGGAAATTAACTTCAAAAATATATTCATAGTGATTATTTGTAAGATTTTTAGGCTTTTATTACCTATTTGAAACTTAATTTTAAATTACCATATTAAGATATTACAGATAAATTATTTAGTATGACAGCATTTAAAGTGATATTTTATTAATTGCTTATTATGTGTAGAGTGTAAAATATATATAAAATGATTCTTTGTTTTATTTTCAATATGTTTATTATCATTATAATTTTTATAAATTATTATAATATTCTCAAATATAGAATATGAAATCATTTGGAATAAAAACTGAATATTCTAGAAAATAAATGAAACCATATTTTGAAATGTTTAAAATTTATAATGAATTTTAAAAGTGCTTTTTATAATATTAAATTCTTCCTTTTAATTTAATTATTTGAAATTTAGTTATATAAAATTAACCAAATGCAATATGTTTTAACTGTAAATAATGTCAATATATGAGACTGGAACAGAATCTCTGACAAGTATGAAGGCCCCTGTGATTTTGAATTTAAAAGATTCAAGTAATGAACAAATCAAATAGTTTGATATTATGTTCCAATATTATAATTTCCTTTCTTCAATGTTGTTTTTTTTTGTCTGTGTATACACATAAGTCAATTTTTTATTTTTTAGGATTAACAACTGTATTTGTTATTTTTAGAACTGTTTTTTTTTTTTTTTGCCACAAACTTTAAATGAGTTAAATATTAAATTAAATTGATGTGGTTTTAAAACTTTAGTAAATGGAGAAAGTCATTTAACTGCCAAGCTCAACTCAGTTATTCAACTGTCATAAATATATATAAGCCTTATACTTGGCAATAGTGAACTTGAGGAGATTCCAAAACTCAGAAAATGAAACACTACTTTCCCTCCTTAGATATTAAAGGAAAATATTTTTTTTTTAGTTTAGATCATCAGAATGTCTCTACAAAGAAACTAAATTTTTACCTCTTATTTATATTTTATATAAAACTACACACTAAATAAATCAAACTGAAAAATATATAAATGTTTATAATTCCTATATTTGTTAAAGATCAAAATGTGAGGGTAAAAAGAACAAAAATGTGTAGAAAAAAAATTATTTTTAATTATTAATCATTCAATGTTAGAAATACACTTTGTTAAAAGAATGGGATGTACAGCTACCATAACAATTATCAGCAGAGAAAAGAGAATTTGGTGAGTTGAATTCAGGTCTGTTGTGTTCACTTTAGCTTTTAATGACCTTGGAAAAGATATGAACCCATCTTTTCTCCTATAAATTATGGGTTAAATAGCAGAGTAGATTGAGCTTTCTTGTCTTAGATGGCAACCATTTGAGAAGGAAATCACTCCACTATTTTCCCCCAAGAAATAATTTATTGATAAGAAAGAGAAGAACCATCAACTATGTATTCTGAAGGGGCATAACTTTAAAAAAAAGATAAAAGAAGAAAAGCTCTCCAAAGAAACTACTTCAAGGGAAAGTTGGATAATTCCATAACTTTTAACATGCAGATTTTGTATTTATTTTTCTTTAAATGTAATAATAATTTCAGTTACATTATTATTTTATATTTTTCAGCTGAGATATATAATCAAATAAGTGATCACAGATTAAAAGGATGAAGAGGAAAAAATAAAGTAAAATTGTTTACAGTTATTATCACGAAACCCCAGCTTCTATGTGATTTCAATGCATAAAAAATAACCAAAAATCTTTTAAGAGTTAATTTTCCTTATAGAATTAACACTAATCAGTGAAATATTTTTTTGCATTTGGAACCAGCTGATCTAGATTTTCAAGAACTGTTTCTTTAACCATGTTTTTTTATAGATTTGAAATATTTTTCCAATTATCTATTTACTAGATTTCTCTGATATTAGTATTTCTCACATTTCTGAACTTTTAATAATAGCAACCCATAATATTTATAAAAAATAAAAGATATTTAACTAGTAATCTGTCAAGAACCAGCATTTCCAACAGGTAGCTGTATTCCTAAATCCAGTTATTCATGTAGAATTATAAAAAGAAACAAAGTAACCAAAGAAGAGTGTAATTCCTAATAAAGTGAATTTTAAAAAAAGTATTTATAAAATACAATGATTTAACCTTTAAACTGTACTCATATTTTCCCAGTAAAAAGCAAGAAGTTTTTTGAAGAGACGATTCAACAGTTTTATCTTTCTATTTCAGTAGTACAATTGTATACTGTAAAATATAACCTAACATTATAAATCTAGATTTCATTGTTCTTTATAATTTAATAAAAATATTTTTAATAATGTAAGAATCTGCTACTATGAGAAATATAGATATCCTTCTATTATTTAACAAGTGGAAAATAATGTTCACTGAAAAGACTTTAAAATAATTATGCTAATTAGTATTTCATAGAAATCTATAAAAATACCTCAGACAAGAATTGCTTCAAATCTCTTGTTAAATTAGCTGGAAAAATAATGTTTTAAAGAAAGAGATTAGGCTAGATTTATTAAAGAGTATTCATGCATATACATAATTTTGCTAAAATAATTTATTAATCTGACACATGTAATATAAAACATTAAGTAGTGTTCATTCATTCATTACTTACAATTTCAAAAATAGATTTTGAAAAGAATATTAAAAGATTATTAAAAACAAAACGGACAGTAAATTTTACATGGAAAGCTCCAAGACAAACACTTGATGAATTCAAAAAGCTAAAACCATTAAATAATAAGCATATTTGATATTTTTTTAAAATTTCTACCATGAAATTATAAGATAATTTTAATTATTTTATTAAAAGAAAATGTAACTTCTACATTTGTAACAAATAATCTGGAAAACAATGAAACTTTAGGTAAAGGAATTTACATCACCTTATAAAAACTTAATTCTGTAAACAGGAAGTAGAGATTTGACCTTGTTGATTTTTATGTTTACTAGATTTTATTTCATCAGTAATAAGAATATGACAATTAAATTCAATAATTTCACATATAAGAAAAAATTGATTTAAAATACTGTTAAAACTATTTAAATTTTCACAATATTCCAGAGTTTTATTAACATTTAATATGGTTGAGATAAATTATAAATCACTACTAAAATATGAATGAATGAAATTGAAACTAGTGTTAATTTATTAATCAGATACCCACCAAAAGTTTATTAATGTACCTGTTAGTACATTTACAGGTAGAAAAACATGTGTACAATTGCTTGAAGTTTCTAAGAAATGAAGAGAATCATTTATTACAATGAATTTTAAAATAACTAAAAGGTTTCCTATGAAAATAATTATTAAAGGACATTAAGTATTTTCCAATAATGAATGAAAAACCAGAAATTGAATACCAAATTTATATTTAATTTTTATATTTTCAAAAAAGTAGTAGTTTCATTATTTAGAAAAGTAAGCAATAAATTTTCCAAAAGTTATTTCAGAATACAATAAAAGTTGAAGAGGAAATAAATGCAATAAAATGGAACTGGAGGCAGTCAAGATACTTTGATAAGATCTGTAGAATAATAGAGAAGTGCAAAAACACTCACCTTACAAATAATCTACCAGTAAAGGAAGGTAGTGGCAAACAGTAAGTAGATCTCTAAGTGATGCCTGAAGAAACCCTAAGCAAGTTTTACTGGCATCTCTCTTATATTAGAGGAGGCAGAGGCAGAGAAAAGATGAGATGGGGATGAGGATTAGGAAGAAAGTATCATTGCCATCATTGTAAAAGGGTTGGAAAAAAAAAAGAGTGCAAAAAGTGTGGGATAAAGGTTAGATGAATCTAGGGTCGTGTGCAAATGGCATCTTACTTGTACTCCAGCTACTACCATAAGCAGGAGACTAAGAGGAAGAAGTATGAAGCTAGAACTCCAACATGAGTAAGCTACCAGGAGGTAACAATCCTTACATAGAAGGTATGCTAGAGAAAAGAATCAAAAAGATGAACAAACAAAACACACAGTTAAGTATGTATACATGATAAAATAGCCACCCACATAAGAACACCAAAAGCAAAAGGAGTGGATACATACTGCATTATTGGCAGAGAGACAGAAGAATAAGCTTCTATAAACACAAGTTTTTCTATCTTTTTTTTTTTCTCAGAATTCTTTAAGGAAGAAAATTAAATTTTATTTTGAATAAAGTTGGTACAAATGGCAAATCCAGAAGTTGCACTGATAAGGGAACTTAAATTAGAAGTGAAAAAAAATTTCACAAGATAAATGTTTGTAATTAAAAATTAGTAGTTTTATTTCACAGGCATATATGAAAAATAGTTTTCTTTTGAGTATGTGTATTTATTTTAAAACACTGACTAAAAGTGTTTAATGGTGGAGATATTCTTTTGGCATTTTAAGCATTTTTGTGTGTGTATATATATATATATATATATATATATATATATATATATATATATATATATATACACACACACACTGTATTTGAGCAGCAATCCCTCTTTTATACAAGTTTCATTAAAGATGACTGAGAAGGTACTGCAATTAAGCTTTTTAGTTAATTTTTCTTGTGTTTGTACAAGCGTTTTCTTTTCTGGACACAAAATATGTAAAAACTACAAAAGTTCTGCATATCCAAGCGCTTTCAGCTATTCTTAACCATTATCAAGGATGATTTTTGTTTTTTATGAATGTGTCTAAAGTTATAAGAATGTTTTATCTTCCAAACACAGTCAGCACATTGTAGCTATGTTCATAATTAATGTTATTGAGTGTTGGTTTTTCCTTTTTTATTATTAGTGCTTCCTTTATTTTTAATATTTTTTTTACATGTGGATAAGTCTATTATACTTGTATTTTCTACTAGTAACAGAAATCCATCCACAATATACTAATAATCTGAATAAAAATATTTAGATTCCAAAGTTAATATTAGTACAGGTACCAGACTATTTGGCTTCTAAAAAACTAAAATTATGAGACATTTGCTATTTTTAATCAAGCTGGCTTTGTAGAAATGAAACTTGCTGTAAAATTAATAAAAAAAAACAAACTATTCAATCCTATAAATCAATTTTCATAGAATAAAATGTATACTATAAAAAAGAATAACTAGAGAAAAATCTGAGATATAAATGATATTTGTCTATATTTCTGAGATGAGGTATTATGTACACCATTTACATTATTCGGACTATTGTCCTCATCTTTGTTGCCATATTTATTACAACGTTTCGGCCATTTTACGCTCCGGCCTTCTTCAGGTGGTTGGAATGTCGAACTGAACCCTTTATTTCACTCACTGGACACATGGCACAGTGGATAAAGGTTAGATCCAGTGACAGGACCCAAAGAGTGTGAGTTCAATACCCGGTTAAGGCAGTGGAGAACTTGGAGAGGGGAATTAACAGGAGATAACTGATATCCATTAAACATGGCATATGGAACTAGAACAGTCTACCCAGTGAGTGAAATAAAGGGTTCAGTTCGACATTCCAACCACCTGAAGAAGGCCGGATTGTACAATGGCTGAAACGTTGTAATAAATATTGCGATAAAGATGAGGACAATAGTCTGAATAATGTAAATAGTGTAAATGATATTTATTTTATTATAAAGAAATTAATTGTTTTCTGATTTTTACAAAAAGTAAAAAAAACAAAAAACAAAACTCATATAGAAATTCAAGATGAAAAATTTCACCTTATTTAAAAAATATACTGAAATTCAATTAATGGAATTTCATAAAACTTTGATTGATTACTGAATTTGCTTTAAGAAAAGGTTACTCTGATGTAAGTATGCCCCCCATCTATTTAATATTATCCCTTAATGAATATAAATATGAACAAAAGCTCTATGAAACATTTAAATAGTTATTTTTTTTTTATATAATTAGTCTGATGAAGGCTAATTAATGTCCTAAAATCTGAAAATTTAAAACTACAATAAAAACAAAAGTGCTGCTTTATTGTATCTTTTTATAGTTCATATATTTTATAGATTTCTAGTATGTAAAATTCTAAAAAACAAAAAAACAAAACATTAATTAAATTTTGTTTAAAAATTTTAAAATAAATTTTAAATTAAAATCTTTTTTTTTTAATATTTATGTTCATCCAAAAAGTTAGTTTTATATAATAATATTTTAATAATTTAGCAATATATATGAATTACCCCCTACCCAAAATTGTCCTAAATATTTTTTAAAAAACTTATCTTTTAGATTACAGCTATAAAATCAGCATATGCAATATATAATGTATCTAAAAAATTATATTTTAGTATATATGATGCCTTGGTTTAGAAAACTAAAAAATTCAGATTCAAGTTATCTTTGGTCTAAAACTTGTCCAATAAATGATCTGTAATATCAAAATTTTGTTGTTTGTTTATCATATATAAAAAGCACAATTAAGTTCCCTAAATCAAGATGGATTGAAGCATGCAATATAACTTTTAATGCAGAGGTAAAATAGTTTCACGATCAAATACAAAATGTGAAGGCAATAAATCCTGTCTTAATGTTAAATTTTTAATTTCTTATGGTGTCAATTGTTATAAACAAGAAAACATTATTTAAGAAGCTCAAAAATTTATATGACCACACTCTTATCACATCCAGTGATCCTTGACATTATTGACAAAGTAGTTTTTGTATGTATAATTTTAACATGGTGAATAAAAAGGAAAAGTAATATATTGATAAATTTACTCCAAATACATTGCATCCAACTGAATATAAGAAAATTGTAATCATGAAATTTTTAAAAATGATTTAAATAAAACCCAAATATTCAAACAATAATGTTTTTAGTAAGGGCAAAACTATTGTCACATTTAATTAAAAGTAAATTTTGAATCCTTTTAAAGTGGTAACTTTCTGTAATCTTTTGTAATTATTTTACCAAGCTGTTACATTCATTTACTTCTACTCCTCTAAACAAGTAGCCTCTAATTCTTGGAGATTCTTAAGATTCCTTTAGCTTATCCTCACCTTCAACTGTCTCCACAAATATTCTATCAGATTAAGGTCTGGGCTTTTAGCTGTCAATGGTATAAAATCAATCTTATTCGTCTCCAACCAGGTTTTCAGTAAATTTCTAAACGCTTAGAATTAATCATGTATGAGGGTCCAATGATATTCCAGATTCAGTTCCCTTGCAGACTTCAAGTTTTGGCTCAAAATATCAATATACTGCTCCTTTTTCATGATGTCATCAACTTAAACTAAGTGTCCAGCACCCTGTTGTTGCAAAACAGCCCCAGAACATTAAACTATTATATTCATGTTTCACTGTAGGGACAGTATTTTTTGGCAGATGAATTTCACTACCTTTTCCCTAAACATATGACATGCCATTATGACCAAATAACTATTTTTGTTTCTTCAGACCATAATGTTTTCTTTTAAAATTCATCATTCTTCTCTCAGTATGATCTTTAGTAAACTGCAAATGTGCATTCAAATAGTGAGGCTGCAAAAGAGAAGTCTTTCATGCTTTTCAATGCTCTTCTTTCAAGAACTTTGCCCACTGTTCAACAAAAAACTTTTTCACCTAGAGTGAAATTCTTCAGTTATTTGTTTGGTGGTCACTCTAAGGTTATTCAGTTCAATCCTCACTATCTTCATTCTGAAAATATTTGTTTATGCAAATATTTAGATACTAATGATTACATTGCTGGGGTTAAGATTAAAGTTTTAATCAATGTATAGACAATTCTTTTATGTTGAATATGAATAAAATTTGTCATTGGTTACAATAACCAATGACAAAATATTTAGTACCATTGAACTAGGAAAAATATATAAAAGGTTGTTGACTTGATCAAATTCCCAAATTTTGACTAAATGACCAAAAATTAGATTTTTTTTAATCATTTGTTGTTTGGGCTAAAAACTTTTCAGTATCCCTTGTATAAAAATGCCACAGCTATAAAACCTGTTCTTTCAAAAAATTAGCAATTATATATTCTATTGCATTACATGTATATACAATTATTTTTTTCTTTGTTATTTTGTTTCAGCACACACATTTTAAAAAGAAAACAAGCAAATACTGCATCCCTTGAAAATAATGAAATTAAAGCTATTTATAATTTTTTTGCAAAAATTAAGAAGCATAAAATCATTTTGAAAGAAAAAATCATGATAATTTTAAATAAGTGATAAGTATTTTTCCTGCCAATTTTTTAATTCAAAGTTTAATATATACAAAAGCTTCCTTTAACTAAAAGGCTTGCTGTCTTTTGAATTATGCAGGGACCATATATTACAGCAGATTTTATTAAACTTTAACCCACTTTTAGAATGGTGTACATTAATATGTTAAAATGTAATAATTACTACTGGATTTTTATAAGCCTATAATTAATGCATTTTTTAGAAACCTATAATACTGGATTTTTTAAACCAATAATGCCAAGTTTTTATTTATATCATTAATACAAGATTTTATTAATGGCTTAATGTCTGAAGATATTTGAATACTCTTTTCAAATTTAGTGTATTTATTCAGATATAATTGTAATCCTACCTGAAGGATTTTCATGAATTTAATAATTCAGTAAGCATATTTTATAAATTAAATCTATAATGTTAGAATATATTTTTATTCTAAAATATATGTGTACTTTTATAAAAGGTTTAGTAGAAATTCAAAGTAAAATAGAGTAAATTGATTTTGCAATGAAATTCTTAAAAGAATTGGGAAAAAGTGTAAAAATATTTTTAACAACTTCACCAAGTGATACGTCTTATATATAAATTTATTTCAATGAATACTCTATATTTTCAAAAATTAGCCTTTCTAAGGAAATTATAAAATTTGAACAATATCGAAAAAATTTTCACAAGTTATTAAGTGAGGAAA